GATTCTATCCCTCTGTTAATGCAGCCTAGNACTGTGTTGGCCTTTTTGGCAGCTGCAGCACACGGCTGGCTCATATTTAAGGGATTGTCCACTAGGACTCTATTCTATTCTATTCTATTCCATTCCATTCTACTATTCTCTTCTCTTCTTATTTCTCTTCTCCTATTTTCTCTTATTTCTCTTCTCTTCTCTTCTTATTTCTCTTCTCTTCTCTTATTTCTCTTCTCTCTCTTCTCTTCTCTCTTCTCTTCTCTTCTCTTCTCTAGTCTAGTCTGTTTTTGCATTGACAACACATTGTTCTTCTACAAATGGGGATGGCAAGCGTCTCAATTTTGATCCCGTGACCCTGGGGATGCTGTGACAAATGCTGCGTGAAAAATGGTCACAAGTCACTTTTTTCAGTGCTGTTTTATTTTCGAACGGTCGCTAAATGAACGGTTGTTAAGTTGAGGACTGCTCGCATGCTGTCTGTTTTCTGTTCCGGGACAAACTTTGGTGTTTATCAGCTCCAAGCATTTCCAGCATAGCCAGGAAGAGAGCGACATCTAGTGGCAAAAATAGTTATTTCTGCTGATTTGCTCTCAAATGGTGGACTCAGGTAAGGAATAGAATAGAATAGAATAGAATAGAATAGAATAGAATAGAATGAAAGAATAGAATAGAAAATAGAATGAAAGAATAGAATAGAAAATAGAATGAAAGAATAGAACAGAATAGAATAGAAAATAGAATGAAAGAATAGAATAGAAGCTGGAAGGGCCCTTGGAGGTCTTCTAGTCCAGCCCCCTGCTCAAGCAGGAGAACTTATACCACTTCAGACAGATGATTGTCTAGTTCCAGAGCTGAGAGGCTATTTATTGCCTCTTTATTGGCTACGAATTCAAAATAATTAGCTTATTCCAGGGATGCTCCAGGCATTCTGGCAATTCTATAGTGGTTACATGTTCTTCAGTAAATTAGTCCTCAAGTTACGACTGTTTTAACGATTGTTCAACATTACGACAGTGCTGAAAAAAGTGACTTACCAATGGTTCTTGCACTTATGACCACTGTAATCCCCGGGGGTCATACAAACACTATTTACAACCTTCCTCCAGAGGACGTCCAAGAAGCAAAGTCAATGGGGGATTCCCTTAACGATTGCATGTTTCATTTAACAACTGCAGAGACTCGGGGTTTTTTTGCAGTGGCAAAAAAAGGATGCAAGATTGGATGGAATACACATTGCTCAACACACCGGAAGTGGTGCCATCGAAAACCCCGCCAAATATGAAGATGCCAAAGGAGTATGGCTAGTGAAGTTCACGGAGCATGGCTTGACCATCAATCCAGAAGTCTACTGTGAAACGTTAGGAAATCTCAAGACAAGCCATCCATAACATGTGTCCGGCATGCTGGCTTCCGGTGTGGTGTTGGTTCACAATAATGCTTGCCTGCACACCGCTTGACGCACCCAAGAACTTTTGAAGCAGTTCCGTTGGGATGTTTATGATCACCCCCTCCCCATAGCCCAGATTTGGCACCGAGCGACTGCTACTAAGGAATTTCAAACATTATAAGACGTTATGACAAGTGCCTCAATTTGAATGGCGATTATGTCAAAAAGTAATGTTGTAGTTTTCTAATGTGTATAATAAAAAAGTTCTGTATCTGCGAGTGTCTGTCATTGATAACCAAACGGAGGTTTATTTACGAATTCCCTTGTAGATAGATAGATACAATGATGGATGGATGGATAGTAATGATGGATGGACAGGTAGAACAGATTTAATATTTGCTGATTTGCTCTTGAAGTGTATATTAAATAAATATGTGTTGTGTTCTTTCTTTGACAGTAGGAGCTGTTTCAATTGGGAGCGTTCTCTAAGCTTTAGAATAGAATAGAATAGAATAGAATAGGAATAGAATAGACAGAATGTAGAATAGAACAGAACAGAATAGAAATACAGAATAGAAAGGAATAGAAATACAGAATAGAAAGGAATAGAAATACAGAATAGAAAGGAATAGAATAGAAATATAGGACAGGATAGGATAGAATAGAGCTGGAAGGGACATTGGAGGTCTTCTAGTCCAGCCCCTTGCTCAAGCAGGAGAACTTATACCATCTCAGACAGGTGAATGTCCAGTCTCTTCGTAAAAATCTCCAGCGATGGAGCGCCCACGATTTCTGGTGGCAAGCTGTTCCACTGGCTGATTGTCCTCACTGTCAGGAAGTGTCTCCTTAATTCCAGGTTGCTTCTCTCTTCACCCTAACCCGGCCATCCACCACACTTACTTTGAAGGCCAATTCTGAAAGTTACTGTGAGAACAAGGGGGGGGGGGAATGCACAGAACGTGTTCCCAGTATGAAGCACCAACACTACCGCTTAAGGTGGAACCATTTTTATTGACACAGACATGTATGTTGGTAGGAATCTGTATTTTTGAAACCACGTCTTTCCAACCTTCTCTATGCTTCAGAAATAACTTTGCTTTTCCAATCTTAATCTCTAAGCTATTTACATTTTTAACTACTTTAGGAAAGCAAAACCTTTTGCAAAAGGGGTACAACTTGGCAATTCTATCTGAAGCCACCAAAAAAGGATGCTTATGAGAAGCTGGAAACAATAAACATCTGAGGGAATTGCGATACATTTTGCAAGAACAGATGTCACAGGCCATGTTAGTTTGCTAAAACACACTGACTGGGTTAACCAGTATGTGTGTGTGTGTGTGTATGCTGGTGTATAGGAATACCACACTGACAATTCCTCTTCTGTTACAATGTTAAAGCCTATGCTATTTCAGAGTTAAGCTGTCACCCAAACACACATTTTTCTACCTTCGTATATCAATAAAAACAACAAGTCACAATGGGTCGCAAATCTTTCACCCCACACAAGAGCAAAAGGCTCCATAAGATCCTTGTGGGTTTTTTCCCCACGCGCCATAAGATCCTTGTGGGATTTTTTCCCACGCGCTGGAAAAAAAAACAACGAATTCTAGATCGTTCTTAACGAAGGAGAAGATGAAGAAAAACTTCCACGCAGTAACTTTGACCATTCTTTCTCGAGACAACTCAAGAACAAATGGAAAGAATTAAAAGTTGATGAGAAGAACGCCTCTTTTGGGGCAGAGTTTATGAACGCTGAAAGAAGAAGATTAAACCCAAGTCGGCGAGAAGAACTTTGTAGATTCTTTGATAAACTGCTTTCTGGACCGTGAAAACTCGAGTCTGCCACAGGGAAGACACCTACGATGTCAAACGTGATGGCCGTTCACCCAAAATGATAACAGCCTAAAAGACCGACTCAGCGGAAGGAAAGGGATACAAGAGCATTTAACAATTAACAGCATCGTTCAGAGCAGAGTGGAAGCTATAGAAGGAATTCAGCACAGAACTGTACTATCGAGAACAGAGCTCTACAAATGATTGTTATCGTTGACACAAAAGCTTCAGATGACACAACATGACACGCAACACTGCACATGCAATGGCTAGGCTAGAGGTCTCCCCCCCCCCCNCCCCCCCCCCCATGGGAACTGCAAACCACGGGTTTAATTCAGCTTCTGGTAAACCACAGGACTTTGCTGTTGTGCTGTGTGTTCAGAGTGAGAACGGCTGCTTGCCGGAGCTAAACACGGTTTTTGCCTGCTTGAATCTGCATTGCAAACCTGAAATAAAAACCAGTTCACTGTTTTCTAACTTAAGCAGCCAGGCCATGAATATTGAGAAGTTAAATGAAGTTAAAACGTTCCACGGGAAATCTAAAGGGGACGGAAAACTTATCGTTAAGCTCCCTCGGGGAATATCGGATGATTCTGCCCGATATTTCGGCTGTAGGGAAGAAAAAAAAACAACAACCTTAAAAACTTTTAATGAGAGTTACTGCTTCTGCTCACTCTAAATCCCAACCCAAGAACAATCTACTTTTCCGAATAAGGATTGATGGGTTACAGGACATTTAAAAAGTCTTGGGCCATGTTTTCAAAGTAAGCCTCACCATTCGCCTCTATAGAAAAAGGGGGGAAGTGAGGCTATCGTTGAATTTTTAGCCTTTCTGCTAAAGTGGAGGACCCTTGGGGAGGGAGGGGGGGTTTTTAAAAACACAAGAACCCACCAACCACTGTCAGTTTTCTCCAGGCACTCCATGTTTAGGCAACGAACGGCCTGAATTCAAACAAGGTTTGACCCATTTTTCCCTCCGTTAAGGTACTTGATTCAACCCCTGGATAACAGACCTTTGAAAAGGCCCAGTGGGGGTGAAGGAACTCATTCCTTCTCCTACTCATCTCTTACTTCATCACCTGAAATCCTTGTGGGGGAATGATAAACCCAACCCGATTTTCAGGCGAGCAAATCGAAAGCCAGACTTCTGCAGCTTAAGTGTCATAATTCGACCGTTCCTGCTTAAGTCTCTCTCTCTCTGTCTCTCTCTCTCACACACACACCGCCTCTTTCTCTCTTTTTTTAATCACACAGGAGGATCTCTTCTTGGGTCTTCTTCCCAGATCATCATCTCTGGGGATGGTTCCCTTTCCTGCAAAAACTCTGCGTAAACACTGGCTTGTTCAGCGGAGGCTCCGGCCTCCCAGCCCACTCGGCCAATAAGATTTATTATTATTTTTTTTTTCCAGTGGATCCGTGGCAGATAGGAGGCTGAGCGGCTCAAATTCAACTCATTTTCTGTTTTGCAGGGCCCGATCCACACCTTTGGGTTCCTGCCAAACTGATTGGCTTCCTGGAGGAGAGGAACAAGCAGACGAGCAAACAAACAAACAAACAAACGGTTGAGATATTCACAGGTATTTCAGCAAACGTGTGATTTTTTCCCCCTTCTTTATAGGGTTTGTTTTGGGTGTTTTGTTTTGTTTTTTTGTTTACCGGCATGAAACCCTCACTTCCGTCAGACACGGGACCAGCTTGCCACACACCCTTCTGCTTAGGACAAAACTGGAGCGCACAAATCAAGGAAAAGGATCTGGGGGGTAAAAAAAAAAAAAAAAAAAAAGGGCTATCCCATTTTAAATTCCTGGCAGCCTGTGTTCCCCAGTTTAGCTCACCCCGCGGCGGGTGGTTGTGTTTAAAAGGCAAGCAAGTGGTGTTGTGTTTTGTCAGCCCTCCTGAGTGTTTTATTGTCCTGCCTCCCTCCCTGGCCAACAAGCTCTTGCTCCCAACAGGCTCCTATTTTTCTCTATAATAAAGCAGGTAATATTTCAACGGGTCGGGAAGAGGCAGGCCGAGAATTTTTTCCCTCAAGGTGTTTGTCGGCGGGTCGGGCTTCAGTTCCGGAATAGATTTCTCCACCTCTTCCCGGCAATCTTCCTCCAATTCCTCACAATTATTATCCTCCAACGGGTTGGAGATCCGGCTTGCAAAGACCTCTTTGTCCAAGAAGACAATGGTTTCCATGCGGCGGTGCCGGACACGGCGTCGTTTAAACCTCGGCGGGTTTCGGAGGCCGTTTCCGTTCTTGCTGGCTCTTTCTTGGTGGATCAGCTTTTTAATGGTGCTGCGGATGGCAATCCGAGCCAGGTCCTGCAGGCTGCGAACCACCACAGGGGCTGGAGAGGGGAAAGAGGAGAAGGGAACAGGTGGGGGAATCTGCATTCGGAGCCAGGAATTATACCTGGCTCAGGGTAGGAGAGACTACACTGATGGGAGAGAATATTTGTGGCTCAGGATTGAACGGATGGGTCCTTGGTATTCTCTGAGCTTGGTGGGGTTTTTTGCCGATGTTTCATTAGCAAGCTAACAGAATAACAGAATTGGAAGAGACCTCGTGGGTCTGACCCCTGCTCAAGCAGGAGATCCTATACCCGTGGTGGCGAACCTATGCCACAGGTGGCACGCAGAGCCCTCTCTGTGGGCACATGCGCCGTTGCCCCAGTCCTAGGCCTTCAGCTGGGTTTTATAAAACCTTTTCGCTTTAGGCCTCCGCCGCCGTGTGCAAAAAAAACAAAACAAAAACGGTTCAATCAATCAATCAATCATTTTCAACTTCTTGCGGGGAAAAAAAAAGCTCTCGCAAAGTTGGAATTGATTGATTGAACTTTTTAGTCCCACCCAGTCTGCCGTTACCACTGCAGCCACACCCCCCCAATGGGCCACACCCCCCCAATGGGCCACACCCACCCGGCACCCGCCGATGCATAAGCAGGTTTTGGGTTGCAGTTTGGGCACTCGGTCTCTAAAAGGTTCGCCATCACTGAGCTAAGGTGTTATGGTTATTGGACTTTCTTGCTTATATGAACTTGGATGTTTGTTTGCAGATGTTTCATCACCCAAGTAGGTAAGATCATCAGTGCTAGTGGAGTGATGCTGATGATGTTATCTAGTGGGATCATGAACATCTGCAAAAAAACAATGAAGCTCAGAAACCACTAAGGACTCCCTCCTCCTCCTCCTCCTCCTCTCCACACCCCACACTCTCTTCTAGCACTGAAGATGTTACCTCATGAAACATCTACAAACTAACATTCAAGCTCAGAGAACACCAAGGATCCCACAGTCCCGTCGTCGTCCTCCTCCTCCTCCTCCTCTCCGCACCCCACATTCCCTTCTAGCACTAGTGCTGTTACCTAGTGTGGTCATGAAACATCTGCAACAAAACAACCAAGCTCAGAGAGCACCAAGGACCCCACAGTTCAACTCTGAGCAACACAAACAGCAGTTTGGGCACTCGGTCTCTAAAAGGTTCGCCATCACTGTCCTATACCATTCCTATACCGGAGTCATTCGATACAACACGGGCGAGAAATAAATTTCCGCAATAAATAAATCAAAATAAATTCTGGACAAATAGCCGTCCAATCTCCTCTTAAAAACCTCCAGGGATGGAGCACCCACAACTTCTGAAGGCAAGCCGTACCACTGATTGATTGTTCTCACTGTAACATTATCAGCACTAGAAGGAAGAGGGGATGCTCCCTCTTTATATACAAAGTATCTGTACCCGGCCACGCGTTGCTGTGGCTCTCGTTCACTCAGCCAACAGATGGCGCTGTTTTTCAAAAAAAAGCATGTTTTTACCTGTCACAGGTGTGACATCTATATAATAGTAGGTACATAAAAACACGCGCGTATTCGAATGCAGCGTTGTGTCAAAATTTCAAAGCAATCGGTGAAGAACTTTCGGAGATTTAAGATTTTGAACAAACGAACATTTACATTTTTATTTATATAGATGAGTTGTGACAAGCCTAATCAAGGAGCTATCAAGAACATTCCCACCACTTGTACATATGCAGGGAACGAACCACCAAGCTCAGAGAGGACCAAGGACCTCACAATCTTCCTCCTCCTCCTCTGCAAACTCCACTCCCTTCTGGCACTGATGACGTTACCTAGTTGGGTCATGAAACGTCTGCAAGAAAACCACCAAGCTCCGGGAGCACCAAGGACTCCGCGGAAATTAAACCAATCAAAAAGGTACAGCAATCTGATCAAGGAGCTGGGGGGCCACTTGGAGAAATCTACCATATGTCGGGCAAGAGCAGAGAGCTGATTGGTCTGTACGTTGTCTTCCAACGCAAAGCGGGAGGAGATGAGATCCCCTGAGCGACCAGAATGGCCACAACATCAACAAGTTAATAATAATAATAATAATAATAATAATAATAATAATAGATTGAGGTTCATGTCTAATTAATAATAATTGACTGAGGTTCATGTCTAATTATTATTATTATTATTGACTGAGGTTCACATCTAAATAATAATAATAATAATAATAATAATAATAATAATAATAATAATAATAATAATAATAATAATAATAATAATAATAATAAAGTTGGAAAGCACCTTGGAGGTCTTCTAGTCCAACCCCCTGCTCAGGCAGGAAACCCTAAAGCAGGGGTAGGCAACCTTGGCTCTTTTATGACTCGTGGACTTCAACTCCCAGAATTCCTGAGCCAGCATGACTCAGCTTGGAAACCTCTCCCTTTCCCCTCAGCGTGGCTGGCTCAGGAATTCTGGGAGTTGAAGTCCACCAGTCACAAAAGAGCCAAGGTTGCCTACCCCTGCCCTATACCATTTCGGACAAATGGCTGTCCAGTCTCTCCTTAAAAACTTCCAGTGTTGGAGCATTCACAACTTCTGGAGGCAGGTCGAGTTATTGTAGTATAATAACGGTTGTCACGTTAACCTTACCATCTTCCCGGGCTTCCTGCTGTCTGAAATTGGCACAGTCCTAAATAGATTAATAGGTATCACTTCGGTGGGAAGGTAACAGCGCTCGGCAAAGTCATGCTGACCACTTGACCGTGGAAGTGTCTTTGGACAGTGCCGGCTGCATGGCCTTGAAATGGAGATGAGCAGCGCCCCCTAGAGGCCGACGGAGTTAAAATCTGCAGGGACTCCGAATCGGGTTTCAGACTAAAGGCTTCCTTTGGTATCCCAATTGCCCAGCAGCATGTTAAGCAAATAGCCAAGGCGTTCCTTTCCATGGGCATTCCCTATTTGTGTGCTTGCTTACTCTCTTGTCGTCTCTTCCTTTTTGATAAGCAAACACTGATTTCCCCTTTTGCTAACGCCTGAAGGCAGGACAAGAAGCAACGGGTGAAAACTCATCAAGGAGAGAAGCAACCTAGAACTAAGGAGAAACTTCCTGACAGTGAGAACAATTAACCAGTGGAACAACCTGCCTCCAGAAGCGGTGAATGCTCCAACACTGGAAGTTTTTAAGAAGAGACTGGACAGCCATTTGTCCGAAATGGTATAGGGTTTCCTGCCTGAGCAGGGGGTTGGACTAGATGATCTCCAAGGTACCTTCCAACTTTTTTATTTTTTATTTTTATTATTATTATTATTATTATTATTATTATTATTATTATTATTATTATTATTATTATTATTATTATTATTATTATTATTATTATTATTATTATTCCAGAACAGAGGTGAGGCTTCCAAAGAGTGAGCGGGTGGAGAAAAGGGGCTATAAGATTTATACCTTTCTCCCAGCTCCCTCGTGTCTCAAGTTCGGGAACGTGAACCTTCCCCGCCATTAGGGCTCACTCCGGCTGATGGGGCTTATATCCTCCTGATGTTGCAAGCATTTAATAATAATAATAATAGTAAAGTTGGAAGGGACCTTGAAGGTCATCTAGTCCAACCCCCTGCTCAGGCAGGAAACCCTATACCATTTCAGACAAATGGCTGTCCAGTCTCTTCTTAAAAACCTCCAATGTTGGAGCATTCACCGCTTCTGGAGGCAGGTTGTTCCACTGGTTAATTGTTCTAACTGTCAGGAAGTTTCTCCTTAGTTCTAGGTTGCTTCTCTCCTTGATGAGTTTCCATCCGTTGCTTCTTGTCCTGCCTTCAGGGGCTTTGGAGAACGGCTTGACTCCCTCTTCTTTGGGGCAGCCCCTGAGATACTGGAAGGCTGCTATCATGTCCCCCCTCGTCCTTCTCTTCATTAAACTAGACACACCCAATTCCAGCAACCGTTCCTTATATGCCTTAGCCTCCAGTCCCCTAATCATCTTTGTTGCTCTTCTCTGTACTCTTTCTAGAGTCTCAACATCTTTTTTACATCGCGGTGACCAAAACTGGATGCAGTATTCCAAGTGTGGCCTTACTAAGGCATTGTAAAGTGGTATTAACACTTCACGTGATCTTGATTCTATCCTTCTGTTAATGCAGCCCAGCACTGTGTTGGCCTTTTTGGCAGCTGCAGCACACGGCTGGCTCATATTTAGGTGATTGTCCACTAGGTAAATTGATTTACGGGCAATTTCGTGATAAACCCCTTTTCAAGATTTACTACAAGCTCAGGCTTCTCTCTTGGGGTCCTCCTTCTTTGGTATACCTACTGGAAATTCTAAACCAAGTGCTGACATGCAGATTGATGGAAAGCGGGGTTAAACTGGCTCACGCTTGGTCTGGTAAAGAATCTGAATCAAGCTCTCTCTTCATGGTGGAGTTCCTGGGGTGGAGGGGAAGAGGGCCCATTGCTTTCATTCCTCTTAGTCCAGAGGTCCCCAACCTTTTGGGCACCAGGGACCGGTTCCATGGAGAGGGGTTTTTCCGTGGACCGGAGGGAGCGTGGTTTCGTGTGCTGCCTACATCTCGCGGATGGGGCTTTGCTTGTTTGTGCGGCCCGGTTGCTGGCATGCCGTGGCCCGGCACTGGTCCACGGACCGGGGGTTGGGGACCCCCGTCTTAGCCTATTTCTTTGGGGCATGGTAAAAAGAGTAGAGACCCTGGTTCCAGGTGAGCTAAACAATCCCGCCCATTATAGCAATGGAAAAAGTGGTACTTATTTATGTACTTGTTTATAACCTGTCTTTATTATTTTTTTATAAATAACTCAAGGCAGCCAACTTTCCTAATACTCCTCCCTCCTCCTATTTTTCCCACAAGCCTGTGAGGTGGGTTAGGCTGAGAGGAAGCGGGCCAAGGTCACCCAGAGGGCTTTCATGCCTGCGACGGGACTAGAATTCAAAGTCTTCTGGAATTTACCCCAAATCCTCCAGCTGCCTTTCATGTCTAAGGCGGGATTAGAACTCAAGAGTCTCCTGATGATTGGCCCAAAGACACCCAGCTGCCTTTCATGTCTAAGGCGGGACTAGAACTCACTTTCTCCTAGTTTCTAGGCTTAAGCCAGTGATGGCGAACCTTTTAGAGACCGAGTGCCCAAACTGCAACCCAAAACCCACTTATGTTTCGTCGGGTGCCGAGTGGGCGTGGCCCATTGGGTGGGTGTGGATCATGGGGTGGGCGTGGCTGTGGTGGGACTAAAAAGTTAAATCAATCAATTCCAACTTTGCGAGATCTTTTTTTTTTCCCGCGAGAAGTTGAAATTGACTGATTGATTGAACCTTTTTTTTTTTTTTTGCACATGGCGGCGGAGACCTAAAGTGAAAAGGTTTTATAAAACCCAGCTGAAGGCCTAGGACTGGGGCGACGGCGCGCGTGTCCACAGAGAGGGTTCTGCGTGCCACCTGTGGCACGCGTGCCATAGCTTCGCCCCCACGGGCTTAAGCACTAGACCCAATCTTCAAAATGGGACGAAGGGACAAATAAAGAGAGGCGGGGGAGACGTGGCTGACTTACGCAAATGAACCAGTCTTGACTTTCCTGAATCTGAATGGTTGGGTTGGATTAGAGGAGCAAAAGAAACAGCCAAGATTTTCTTGGTCTCCCAGGCGGAAAGGCCTGTCCGAGTAATCTTGGTCAGCTGCATGGAAAGACAAAAACAGAAGATGAAACGGGTGCGACAGCAGAAATCACGGAACACCCCTCCCACCCCACCCCTTCTCTGCTCGTTTCTTGCTCTCAAAGTGTACAAATACATAACACACATTTAAAACATACTATATACAACATATGTATAGACCTACACCCTTACATATAAGTCACATATAAATATTATTCACTGTCCATCTGGAATACATAACGGAAAGAGGGAGCTTTAGAGTTCACAAGGTTGATACTGTGTGGAGCGAAACGGTGACTGGATCGGGATGTTCTGCCTTGGATACCACGGAGCCCCCTCCTCCCAGAAGGTAACAAGGAAAACAGGTCGTGGAGAGGGTGTGTAGTGTCTGTCCCAGACAATCTTGTGGACCTTGCTCAAGCATCGCTTATGTCCTGGATGGAAGGGAAGGAACAGCCAATGATCTTTTCTGCTGTCCTCACCACTCTCTGCACTGCCTTCCTGTCTGAAGCAGGGATGCTTCCGAACCAGATTGTGATGCTGTATGACAGGAGGCTCTCGATCGTCCCTCCGTAGAAAGTGGGAAGGACAGGGGAAGGAAGCTGTGCTTTTCTCATGTGACGCAGAAAATGCAGGCCCATTTTCTTTATAATTGAATGCATAATCTACACTTAAAACTGAGCCGGATCCCACAAAGACTGAAAGATGATGGAAAGGCACCTATCTGCTGATCAACCTGAAAATAGTGATTTGGCCACAGAGGTCAAAGAGTGGGTACAAAATTCTATTATACAAACCTGAGATGTGTTTAATTTTGCTGGAGCCTTGCCTTAAAACAAAGCACAACCTCCCAATTCAATATTTCAACCCGAGATCCTCTGAACCAAAATATTCTGCAGAAAGTGGGAAGGACGGGGGAAGGAAGATGTGCTTTTCTCACCGCGACAGTTTACTGACCGTTCAAAGTTAAAACAGCACTGAAAAAAGCAACTTATGGCCACTTAACGACCATCGCAGCATCCCCAGAGTCACATAATCAAAATTCGGGCACTTGGCAACCATCTTGTATTTATAACGGTTGCAGCGTCCCAGGATCGCCATTTACGACCTTCCCAGCTGGCTTCGGACAAGCAGGTCAGTGGAGATGCCAGATTCACTTAACAACTGCTTGGCTTAACAACGGGAAATCCTGGTTCCAAGTTGAGGACTACCTGTATTGCACTATACAATTTATACTGTACCTCAGGGGTCCTCAACCCCCGGTCCGTGGATCGGCACCGGTCCGCAACATACCAGCAACCGGGCCGCACAAACAAGGAAAGCCCCATCCGCGAGATGCAGACACAAGAGCACACACCCCTTCCAGTCCGCGGAAAAACCTTTCTCCATGGCACTGGTCCCTGGTGCCCAAAAGGTTGGGGACCTCTGTTGTACCTCATTCCTATTCTGAACAATTGTCTCCCCCCTATCAAACAAGAGGTCCAATAATTTCAGCTTCATCTCACTCTCTCTCTCTCTCCCTCTCCCAGTTGGCTTCCTCCTTTTCCGGATCTCCTGCTCTGTTGTCCCCCAGCCATCTCAGATCTATTTGACCTCCCTCTCATTTGTTTCTTGGCAGGCAACTCTTTACGGGATTTATAGAACCCAAATGGTGTCGGAGACAATAAAGGCGCCCAGCCCCACCGGCCAACCTTTTCCTCCAGGGGCATGACGAGAATCCCGCCGACTTTCAGCAAGTTCTTCATGTAATCTTCGTGCTCTCTTTGGACGCCGGCTCCGCAGTAGACGCGGTCGTATTGAGAGGAGTCTGGAGAGATTTCTAAGCAGTTTCCAGAGACAAAGGAAGGCTCACAGAATTCAAACCTCAGAAAGAAAGAAGGAAGGAAGGTGGGTTGTGAATGAGACTTCAACGCGGCAGGGGAATTCAACAGGGAGAGCAGTTTATTTTCGTTCAGATTTTTTTTTTTTACCCCACCTATTGTAAATAACTCAAGTCGGCGAACAGACTTAATACTCCTTTCTTCTCCTGTGTTTCGCCAACAACAACCCTGTGAGGTGGGGCGGGCTCAGAGAGAGGGGCTGGCCCACAGTCATCCAGCTGGCTTTTCATGCCTAAGGTGGGACTAGAACTCACACTTGCCTAGTGATCAGTCCAAGGTCACCCAGCCAGCTTTCATGCCTAAGATGGGACTAGAACTCCCAGTCTCCTGGTGAGTGGCTCAAGGCCACCCACCAGGCTTTTCGTGCCTAAGGGGGGACTAGAACTCACTCTCTCCTAGTGATTGGCCCATAGTCACCCAGCCAGCATTCATGCCTAAGGTGGGACTAGAACTCAGAGTCTCCTGGTGAGTGGCTCAAGGTCACCCACCTAGCTTTCATGCCTAAAGTGGACTAGAACTCACACTCTCCTAGTGATCGGCCCAGTTATCCAGCCAGCATTCATGCCTAAGACGGGACTAGAACTCCCAGTCTCCTGGTGAGTGGCCCAAGGTCACCCACCTGGCTTTCATGCCTAAGGTGGGATTAGAACTCACTGTCTCCTGGTGATGGGCCCAAAGTCACCCAGCCAGCTTTCATGCCTAAGACGGAACTAGAACTCCCAGTTTCCTGGTGAGTGGCTCAAGGCCACCCACCTGGTTTTCATGCCTAAGGTGGGACTAGAACTCACAGTCTCCTAGTGATCGGCCCATAGTTATCCAGCCAGCATTCATGCCTAAGACGGGACTAGAACTCACAGTCTCCTGGTTTCTAGCGTGATGCCTTAGTGACTATATCAAACTGGTTCATTTGCAACATACACAGGGTTAGATTATGGGCTGGTAAGGTACGACCCTTCAGATAGTTTGGATAGTAACTCACCCAGCCCTGCCCTGGACTGTCCTTGAACGCCGCAAGACTACCCATAACCTGCAGTGCTCATCTTATCATTGACCTCTCTTTACGGTGCTATTATTTCCAGAACTGTTATAATTGGCCCTCTCCAAAAGACCTTGGCCAGCTTACAACATCCCATATATAATAACCGCAGCTTATAACATCCCACATATAATAACCACCCAGACAAAAACAGCCATAACAGTAAAAAGGAAAAAATAAACTTAAACATACCATTAAACCCAAGCTTGGGAGCAAAGCCAGATCTTAATCTTTCAGAACCCAAAGTGTGTGTGTGTGTGTGTGTGTGTGTGTGTATGGGGTATGCTTAGTTGGGTTGCTGAACAAGTGGCTGCTGAATGAGGACCACTTGTATTTGGTCTTGGATTCACTTCCTTCTAGAACTAGAAATTACCATCTGAAGAGTAGGACTTTTTTTTTTTGGAAAATCCGCTTGGATGCAAACTAAGGGACCCTCTCGTCTTACTTGTCAAAGCTGTCACTCGTTCTGATGAAGAAGTCCAGTTTCTGCTTGGCGTATTCTATAACGTCAGCGTGAAGTTCTACGCCATGGTTTATTCCAAAGGGACCTGGATGTGTAAAGAGTGCAAAGAGACAGTTATAAAAGGCGGGAAAAACACAGACTCAGGTCAACGAGTTCCCCTCCAGCTTGAAAAACAAACGAAGGCAGAGTTACTGCAACTCACTGGCCTATAACGGGCAGCTGCTTATTGAAAGGTGCACGTAAACCAATTCTTTTAGTTTTACCAACGAGTAGAATTGAACTGTAGTGTGGATGAAAAGCATACGGGTAAGTCGTCTATGGAGCGCCTGAATTTTGATCACGTAATTGTGGGGCAGGGGTCTTCAAACTTGGCCACTTTAAGACTTGTGGACTTCAACTCCCAGAATTCCTCAGCCAGCCAGGGCTGGCTGAGGAATTCTGGGAGTTGAAGTCCACAAGTCTTAAAGTGGCCAAGTTTGAAGACCCCGGTTGTGGGGTTACTGCAATCGTCGTAAGCGCGAGGACTGGCTCTAAGTCATTTCCCCCCCCAGTGCCATTGTAACTTCAAAGAGTTGTTAAACAAATGGTTACACATTGAGGACTGCCTGTGTAGAACAACTAAAAGGATGCAGAAAAATTCTTTGCCTTTCACTGGGAAAACCAAACAAGCAGTGAAGAAATGGAAGAAGACGACATATAGGGGGGGGGGGGAATAGACAGATGCAGGAAATATAATTTTGATTTTTAAAGGAACTATTTATAGCATCTGAGTTTCAGGCCTTTTGGGTGCACAGGTAATTCTCAACTTGCAGTCCGGGTTTAGGGACCGTTCATTTAGCGGCCATTCAAAGTTACAACAGCCCTGAGAAAAGTGATGGTGAGAGAAAAATCTTCATCAGGGTCCAGTCCAAGCTGGGAATAAACAACATGGAGACTGCTTTAGAAAGAAGGTTGCAGTTTATTGAAGAGGAGAGCCAGACAGAAAGACGGCTCTGAGAAAAAACTGACCACATGTAGTAGGGAGTGGTGGGTTTTTATACCTTCTTGGGCTTTTGTCTGGAGTTGTTCCTGTGGCATGAACTTTGACCCACGGTCATGTGATCAAAATTCAGACACTTGGCAACTGGCTCATAGTTATGACGGCTGCAGTGTCCCGGGGTCACGTGATCCCCTTTTTACGACTTTCTGACAAGCGAAGTTCCTGAGGAAGCAGGATTCACTTAACATGTTATTAACTTAACAACGGCAGTGATTCACTTAACAACCGTGGCAAGAGATGTCGTAAAATGGGGCAACATTCACTTAACAAATGTTTCCCTTAGCAACGGAGATCTGAGGCTCAATCGCGATTGTAAGTCGAGGACTTACCCCTATTCACCTTATTTTCAGTTTCCTAGAATATTTATAAAGGTCCTTAATGTTCTTCTAGAAACTCTTCTTTTAAAGTACCATTTACGGATGTGATGTTATACACAAGAGGTAGCAGGAAGTGGCTTTTAATTGTTGGACTTTTAGAAGCGGCTTTTCTCTCTTTATTTTTTTTTCTCCCTTTGCTAACCCTGAACAGAGAGACTGAAACTTGTCGGCTCTTGTGGTGCAGCACAGACAACATTCTTAGGTTTCGAATTTGCTATTCTTCCCAAACCTTCGTAATAACCTCTGCAGATGTCTGTGGGCTGGGAGGATCCAGACCGGCTGTGCTGTGCTGACGTACAAAATAGGGCAAAACAACAATTAAGGACTCAGGCGAGGAATTACTGCAATTTTTCTCCGCAGAAGGTATCAAATTAGGGGACTCAATCTCACAACCCCAAATCCAACTCGTTACCTTTTCGGAACCTACTAAACTAGGGTAACATCTTGAATCTACAGAACGAACATCTGCTAAGATGTTTCAGGGAAATTAAACGAGACAGCCAGGCACCTAACTAACACAATGGCTGTGATTCCCTCCTTTCCATAATAAGCGAAGAAAATGCTGTACTTATGCAACGTGGAAAAACTCGTTTTAGCCTAGCTTGGCCCTAGCCTGTGAAAGGAACTTAAAACCATAAAAAGCATACATGCACATACCATACATTTATATTCACAGAGTAATAATAATAATAATAATAATAATAATAATAATAATAATAATAATAATAATAATAATAATAATAATAATAATAATAATAATAATAATAATAATGAAGTTGGAAGGGATCTTGGAGGTCATCTAGTCCAACCCCCTCCTCAGGCAGGAAACCTCATACCATTTCGGACAAATGGCTATCCAGTCTCTTCTTAAAAACTTCCAGTATTGGAGCATTCACCACTTCTGGAGGCAGGTTGTTCCACTGGTTAATTGTTCTAACTGTCAGGAAGTTTCTCCTTAGTTCTAGGTTGCTTTTCTCCTTGATTAGTTTCCATCCGTTGCTTCTTATCCTGCCTTCAGGCGCTTTGGAGAATAGCTTGACTCCCTCTTCTTTGGGGCAGTCCCTAAGATACTGGAACACTGCTATCATGTCCCCCCTCATCCTTCTCTTCATTAAACTAGACACACCCAATTCCAGCAATCGTTCCTTATATGTTTTAGCCTCCAGTCCCCTGATCATCTTTGCTGCTCTTCTCTGCCCTCTTTCTAGACCAGGGGTGTCAAACTCAATTTCATTGAGGGCCGCATCAGCATTGTGGTTGCCCTCCGGGGGCCGGGTGGGTGTGGCCAGGGTGGGTGCGGCCTACTGGGTGGGCGTGGATGGAGTGGGTGTGGCTTACTGGCTGGGCGTGGCCACTCTACATCGTTCGCGTCAAGGGTGCCTGTGGGGGCCTGGGCAGGAGTGGGACAGATCTGAGGGTCTCTGGCAGAAGGGGGTGGGACCGGGGCAAGTGCCAAGGCATGGTCCACTGGAGGAGCCAAGACTGAATGCATTTCAGCATAGATGGCCACCACAAAATTGTACATTGGCTCCCGGCCGGCCTGGGCCAGGGCCAAGGCAGCGGGGGCCGTTCCCTTACTGTTTCCAGGATGGCTTCGCGGGCCACATGAAACCACTTCGCAGGCTGCATCCGGCCCCCGGGCCTTGTGTTTGGCATGTCTGGATTAGATGAGCTCCAAGGTCCCTTCCAACTCTTGTTATTCTTTGATTCTTAAGGCTCTCCTGCTTGAGCAGCGGGTTGGATTAGATGACCTCCAAGGTGCCTTCCAACTCTTGTCATCCCATGATTCCGTGAACAACATTTTAAGAAGTGTGACACAGTGGAGACGGCTGAACCGAGCTGCAAGGTTCTCATAGATCCTCATAAAAAATAAGCAATGTTAAAACCAAGAAATAGACCAACAAACACTTTAGTAGCAGAGGACCCCAATTCGAAGCCAGCTAGGAAATATTCTCTGTCTAATAGTTATTTTGGGGACCTAAAATCCATTTTCCTTTGGGGAAAAAAGAAGTTCCTGCAGCCTTTCCTAGCTCCTCGGAGGACGAGGGCTTTCGAGAACCATAAAATACTTTTACGGTGAGTTTAGAGAGCTATAAAATTACAGGGTGCTAACAGCTCGCCTGCAGGATACTAATCCAACATAGCGCTGAGCCCTCGTTTTGTTTCAAAATGGGTGGAAGGTCACAGAGAGACTGGTGTGCATGCTGGAAAAATCCCTGGTTTAAACTGACAAATTGAAACTTGGCAGAGTTGATGCGACGGTGCACAAGAACAACAGAGGCAGAAAAACTGCAATTCCCCCCCCCCACACACAGCCTCTCCATAGATATGCAACAAAAGACTCTTCCTCGTTTCACTCGTTTTGTGGAAATAAGCAATAATACTTAATAATAATAATAATAATAATAATAATAATAATAATAATAATAATAATAATAATAATAATAGTAAAGTTGGAAGGGACATTGGAGGTCATCTAGTCCAACCCCCTGCTCAGGCAGGAAACCCTATACCAGTGGTTCTCAACCTTTTTAATGCCGTGACCCCCAACCGGTCGTAAGTCAAGGACTAAACCGGTCGTAAGTCGAGGACTAAACCGGTCGTAAGTCAAGGACTACCCAACCGGTCGTAAGTCGAGGACTTTCCCTGCCCGGGAGTGCTGCGCATGCGTGGTTCCGCCCCCTGCGTCGGCCAAGGCGTAGCTGGCAAGCGGCAGAGACGGAGCAGGCCGACCACCAGCTGGCCCAGCCCAAGGGAGGTAAGGCACCCGCCGGAAAAGGGGAAAAAAATGGCAGACCAAAAAAAAATGGCGGACAGCCTTGCTTGGCGACCCCCATGAAATGGTCGATCGACCCCAAATGGGGTCGCGACCCATAGGTTGAGAACCGCTGCCCTATACCATTTCGGACAAATGGCTGTCCAGTCTCTTCTTAAAAACTTCCAGTGTTGGAGCATTCACCGCTTCTGGAGGCAGGTTGTTCCACTGGTTAATTGCCTCCTGCACTCAATATTACAGGTAGTCCTCGGCTTACGACCACAACCGAGCCCCACATTTATGTTGCTAAGTGAAAACGGTTGTTAAGTGAGTTTTGCCTCATTTTGTTTTTTGTTTTGTTTTTTAGAAAATTTTATTGATTTTCTGGTTTTACATTTAAATATTTGAAAAGCAACGTGGTGGCTGAGTTGGTCCATAATTCAATAACATACAAATATCCTTAGTACAGATCACAAACTACTACGTTAAACATTTCCTCTCTCTTTTCCCCTTGGTGTTTACTATCTCACCTTTAAATTAATACAATTCTTCTTATATCGATTTAATACAAATAGCTTTCTTGCATTTATCAATCGTTTTTAGTTTACACATATCCTAGTTATTTTAACTTTCAATCTTTTTAGAGTTTAGACAATCGGTGTCCTGGTAAGTTTTCCCCAATTTTTAGTTTCCCATTCATATTTAAATTTAACGTTTGATATTTATAATTTCCAAGTTTTAAATAACCCCCAATTCCCTTTATCACAATCCATCACGAGATCTAATGTTATATCAGCTAATTAATAATACAATATAATATTCTCATTTTCTAGTAATTTCCAAATGTCTTAAATTTAATAACCAAATTTTCTCTTATTTCAACATTTAATGCTTCCTCTCTTTTTTGCCTCATTTTACGACCTTTGTTGCCACATTTGTTAAGGGAATCACTGCAGTTGTTAAGTTAATAACATGGTTGTTAAATGAATCTGGCTTCCCCATTGACTTTGCTTGTCAGAAGGTCGCAAAAGGGAAGCACAACTGTCATAAATATGAGTCAGTTGCCAAGCAACTGAACTTTTGATCACGTGACCGTGGGGATGCTGCAACGGTCCTAAATGCAAAAAACGGTCCTAAGTCACTTTTTATAGTAACTCTGAATGGTCACTAAAAGAACTGTTGTAAGTTGAGAACTACCCGTATTAATGTACAGAAGAAAAGGATATTAGTGGTGGTGCAGTGCTTAGAATGCAGGCTGACTCTGCCGACTGCCAGCGGTTCGATCCTGACCGGCTCAAGGTTGACTCAGCCTTCCATCTTTCCGAGGTCGATAAAATGAGGACCCAGATTGTTGGAGGTAATAAGCGGTCTCTATAAAACTGCTTAGAGAGGGCTGTAAAGCACCATGAAGGAGTATATAAGTCTAAATCAGGGGTGCCAAACTCGCCGTGTCACAGGACGTGTCGCAACTTTTTCCCCCCTTGCCAGAGCTGGGGTGTGTGTGCGGCTTCCACATGATGTATCCGGCCCACAGGCCGGCAGTTTGACGCCCCTGGTCTAAGTGATCATGATCATGATGATCATGATAACCTTTATTGTCATTTTTTATTGTGGGCACAATGGCCCACATTAAAAATGAAAGTTAGTTGCTTGCTTTCAAAGTGTACACATACATAACACACATTTAAAACATACTATATACAACATATGTATAGACCTACACCCTTACATATAAGTAAGTAACAGCTTAGCCCCAGAAATCGTGGACACTCCATCTCTGGAAGTTTTTAAAAAGAGACTGGACAATCACCTGTCTGAAATGGTATAGGGGGCTGGACTAGAAGACCTCCAAGTCCCCTTCCTGTTCTGTTCTGTTCTGTTCTATTCTATTCTATTCTATTCCTACTCTATTCTACTCTACTCTATTCTCATCACCATCCTCAAATATTCTATTCTATTCTATTCTATTCTATTACCTGTTTATTCTATTCTATTCTATTCTATTCTATTACCTGTTTATTCTATTCTATTACCTGTTTATTCTATTCTATTACCTGTTTATTCTATTCTATTCTATTCTATTCTATTCTATTCTATTCTATTCTATTCTATTCTATTCTATTCTATTACCTGTTTATTCTCTTCTCTTCTCTTCTCTTCTCTTCTATTCCTATTTCTATTCTATTCCTACTCTATTCTACTCTACTCTCATCACCATCCTCATATATTCTAATTCTATTCTATTCTACAATCTGTTTATTCTATTCTATTCTATTCTATTCTATTCTATTCCCCATTCCATATTCTATTCTATTCTATTCTATTCTATTCTATTCTATTCTATTCTATTCTATTCTATTCTATTCATCAAAAATGAAATTTAGTTGCCCACTCTCAGAAATTTAGTTGCCCACACATACATGACACACACCTAAAACAGACTATGTACAACATATCTATAGACCCACAGCCCTCCATATACATAGCAAATAAATATTAAATACTGTCCATCTTTGCATTCATGAGTCAAGAAGCAGGATTTGTGGGAGAAATTTGGTAAAAATGCACGACAACTTACCCAAGATGAGCCCGACCATGGAGCTCAGGTAACCGGTGCCGCTGCCTAGGTTCAAGAAGGAAAGTCCGGGCTGAAGATCCAAGGCTTCCATGACCTCGGAGTAAATGCAGGGGGCAGACAGATGGATGTTCCCATGTTTCCAGGCCAAATCTTTGTAGGCGTTCTCCTTGAATTCCTCCAGGTAATAGTCGGCCCTGTCAACAGCCCTGAAGGCCTGTTCCACCAGCTCCGACCGAATGTACTGAGCCTCCTTCAGGTTATCGATTAACTCGTCGTTGTCTTCTCCGGCGCTCACGGCCCCTCCCATGGTCCTCACAAGGGTTCAAAAAAATCACCTCTGGATTACAGAAGGAACAGAAAAAAAGCATTATTAGCCACCATTCAGAGAAAGAGTTGAGGAAAGACTCATGGGCATATACAGGCAGTCCCTGACTGACAACAGTTCATTTAGTGACCGTTTGTTATCAGATCAGTAGGAAATAGTTTCTCTGAAGGTGGCCAAACTCTGCTATGCTGTATGTAAAATTAAGCCAGGGGTAGGCAACCTTGGCTCTTTTATGACTCGTGGACTTCAACTCCCAGAATTCCTGAGCCAGCCATGCTGAGGGGAGAGGGAGAAGTTTCCAAGCTGAGCCATGCTGGCTCAGGAATTCTGGGAGTTGAAGTCCACGAGTCATGAAAGGGCCACAGATCCCCCATGCTGGCTCAGGAATTCTGGGAGTTGAAGTCCACGAGTAATAAAAGAGCCAAGGTTGAGGACCCCTGATATAGGGGAGGGGTAGGCAACCTTGACTCTTTTATGACTCGTGGACTTCAACTCCCAGAATTCCTGAGCCAGCCATGCTGAGGGGAGAGGGAGAGGTTTCCAAGCTAAGCCATGCTGGCTCAGGAATTCTGGGAGTTGAAGTCCACGAGTCATAAAAGAGCCAAGGTAGCCTACCCTGGATTAGGGGGTAGGCAACCTTGGCTCTTTTATGACTCATGGACTTCAACTCCCAGAATTCCTGAGCCAGCCACACTGAGGGAAAAGGGAGAGGTTTCCAAGCTGAGCCATGTTCGCTCAGGAATTCTGGGAGTTGAAGTCCACGAGACATAAAAGAGCCAAGGTTGCCTACCCCGAATTAGGCTAACTGCCCATTGTTAAACAGGCACCGATTGCAATATGTTAGCCTTTATCGGTGTTTTATTTTTATTTTTTGACTATTATTATGGTTGTTTTCAATGCTTTTATTTGCTGATCTGTGATCGTAATGAAAATTGATTGGCCATTTGAAGTTACAACGGCGTTGAAAAAAGAGATTTACAACTATTTTTCACCCTTAACGCCCATTCAGCATCCCCAGGGTCATGTGATCAAAATTCAGACGCTTGGTCACTGACTCATATTTATGACGGTTGCGTGTCCTGGCATCATGTGACGATCCCCTTTTGTGACCTTTTGACAAGCCAAGTTAATGGGGAAGCCAGATTCACTTAGCAACCGTGTTATTAATTTAACAACTGCAGTAATTCACTTAACAACTGTGGCAAGCCAAGTCATAAAAAGAGGCAAAACTCACTTAACCAATGTCTCGCTTAGCAACAGAAATTTTGGGCTTAACTGTGGTCATAAATTGAGGACTACCTGTATATACAAAGCACACACAGAAACCTTGTTAATTAATCTCTCTCTCTTTTTTTTAAGTTTTACTGATTTTCTAATTGTCTACTTTTTGTTAATTAATCTCTTTCTCACCAGAGATTTTCCTTTAAAAATCTCAGAAATAAGAAAGGTGAACTCCAGCTCACTTTTGACATTGTGTGCGCTTTTGTGAAGGAACACAACCCAGAAATGTGACAATCTCTATTAATCAATGCTCAAAAGACTGTTACTTTATAATAGAAAGAGGAGATCGTACACGGGATAAATTCAGGTAGTCCTTCACCTCCTTTGGCACCACAAATCTTTGTAAACAATTCTTTTGGAAACTCCTTCCAACAATAATTCACAACTTTGTTAGCTCAGCCAGCAGCTTCTGGATCAAATTGCAGGTAGTCCTCGACTTATGACCACAACAGAGCACAAAATTTCTGTGGCTAAGGGAGACAGTTGTTAAGTGAGTTTTGCCCCATTTTACGACCTTTCGTACCACAGTTGTTAAGTGAATCACTCCAGCTGTTAAGTTAGTAACACAGCTTTTAAGTGAATTTGGCTTCCCCACTGACTTTGCTTGTCAGAAGGCTGCCAAAGGGGATCACATGACCCGGGGGACACTGCAACCGTCGTAAGTATGAGTCAGTTGCCAAGCTTCTGAATTTTGAATATGTTACTATGGGCACACTGCAACGGTTGTAAGTCTGAAAAATGGTCGTAAGTCACTTTTTTCAGCGATGTTGTAATTTTGAAGTCACTAAATGAATTGCTGTACGTCGAAGATTCCCTGTAACAAGTTGTGCTCCGAAGCCTGGTTCTTTTCTCAATGCAGCTGCTGTATTGGCTCAAATAATGTACCTTGGAGATGAAGCTGACTCAGGAATGACTAACCAGGGTCCTTGTCTAATTTTCCAGTTGCTGAAGCCCGAACTGAACAACCTGCTCTCCATGTCTATGGAGGTTATTGGTCATCCAGGCCATGGTTGTCCCAAAGGTGTTTTTTTCCAAGAGGCAACTGGACTTTCTTGTTTTTCTTTAAAGATGTTTCGCTTCTCATCAAAGGACCAGCTGTCTGCACGGAATATACACTAGTGGCCAAAATTGTGGAAACCTTTTGGGAAAAGTGTATTTTTGAGGTTTGATGGCTAATAACACCACTTTTTTGGGGGAGTAGCACCATAAAATTATATATCAATGGAAAGATAATTTAATCAAGAATGTAATGCAACCACGTTTGTTCAATTATCTGTACTGTATTCTATGAAAAGTCATAGCCAAATAACCAGAAAAAGGAAGCACAACTTGCTCAGATTGAGATCAGGTAGCTTTCCTTCATCCGATTGTAGCCAATGAGCGTGAGTGTTTAGAGAGCCAATCGGGTGTCATCTTGTTTTGGCCATGAGCCAATCGGATCACAGTAGGATCCAGTGATCGATGTCCTGTATTGAAGCTGAGAGGAGGACATGTGTCAGTGTGTTGTGTGATGGCTATCAAGTTGGTTGGGATTTTTTTGTGTTCTTTCATTGAGTGAGCTTGTAAAATGTAATAAAATTAAAGTCATGGTGCAAAGAGTTGACTGGTCGCCCAGAAAGCGATGTCAAATAGTATTGTTAAGTGAACAAGGCTACAGTTATAAAGAAATTGGAAGAAATGTGGGTGGAAACTTAACCAAAGGTGGCATTTCTACTGTACACTTTTCCCAAAAGGTTTCCACAATTTTGGCCATGACTGTAAATCCTTCCATCCCCCACCATCCAGTCAGAGCTGAAGAAGCTTCTTGGGTGAGAAGCGAAAAGTCTTCAAGGAAAAATAAAGAAAGTCCAGTTGCCTCCTGAAAAAAAGCACCTTTGGGGCAACCTGCTCTATACTGGGAAGCAGGAAACAGCCTTTCCTTGTTTCTCTACGCTTACCTAAACCAGGGCTTTTCAACCAGTGGTACGGGTACCACCTGTGGTACATTGGCACCTGGCAGGTGGTACGCGACCATCCTAGAAAAGTGGTAGTGGGGGAGGGGAATGAGCTGAACCGGTGGCAGCACCGCACAAGCCTGAGCGAGAGATGGCTGGAGCTGCAGGGCTGTCAGTGCCGTTTTCCAGCTGATCGGCGCTTTTTCGGGGCTGTCAGGGCTCAGTGGAAGCGCCAGGATCAGCGCCAGGCTCCAGCTGGAGCTCGGCGTTGATCCTGGTGCTTCCGCTGAGCCCAGAAGAAGCGCCGATCAGCTGGAATGTTGCAGCATCTCCAGGGTCTTGTGATTTACATTCAGATGCTAGGCAACTGATTCATATTTATGACGGTCACAGTGTCCCAGGGTCATGTGAAGTGACCAAAACCTGCTGCAACCACCCAGCAGACGGGGGGGGGGGAATAAAAACCAAACACCCCCCCACCCCACCCCCGCTGCCAATCCTCAACAGAAATGCTCACAACAATGGAAACCTCGGACAGGAGGAAGAGCGCCGCCGGGTGGGCAGGCAGGTGTCTTGCTCGGCTGTGGCTTGGGGGCCACTTTTTTCAGTGCCATTGTAACTTCGAACAGTCACTAAGCGAACTGTTGTAAGTCGAGGACTACCTGTACTTTATCACTTTTTTTCCTCTTTTTTTTGTCATCATGTTTTTGACACCTTGCTAGGTGACGGTACTCGGATATTGCCATATCCTAAAAGTGGTACAATGGGTGAAAAGGTTGAAAAGCCCTGACCTAAAACAACAACAACAACAAAAACACCCCCCCCCCAAACCCTACAATGGAGAATTCTCCATTACACTACCTCAGTTTACAACTGCAATTGTGCCTGGGATTAGGGTTGTAAACTGAGCCGGTCATTAAACGGGTTACCATGTAATCCTGCCTGATTTTACAACCTTTTTTTTTTGCAGCTGTCATTAAATGATTCACCACGGTCATTAAGTGCATCCATTGTCCACAATGGGCATCTTTGCAAGAAGAAACAAATCGTGGTCATGTGTTCGTGGGACACATGCAGGCTGGTTACTGAACATTTAACCACAGGGGTGGGAACGAGCTGGCTGTAGTGACTTCGAATCCAGGTCGTAAGTACGACAGTACTGGGAGACCTGTTGTAACATCACTAAGCCAACGGTTATAAGTCGAGGATGATCTGTTCTCTACATTTAGCGACTACCTAATTTAGCCATTACTTACAGTTACATACTTACAGTTACAAAGGTGATGAAAAAGTGACTTTATAACTAATCCTCGCATGTATGACCTTCACAGGTCTGTAAAGCAAAGAAAAGTTGAAGTAGGATCATAAGCACAGTCGGGGTTTCACTTGGCGACTGCTTTGCTTAATGACTGCATTGCCAGTCCCAGTTGTGGCTGCTAAATGAGGACCAGTTGTATTTTTCCTGAAATAGCCTTGAAGTCTAAGTTTGGTCCTGGACCTCTTCTTAAGGAGATGGACTCTGATAGAGGACCTCCCCAGAACACGTCCCACCCCAACCATTTCAACAGTCCCCCACTCCAGTTCTTAACGTGCGCGTCTCAATAGTAGTAATGAGACTTTAGATAGATAACCTTTATTGTCATTTTTTGCTGTGGGCACAATGGCACACATTTAAAAATGAAATTTAGTTGCTTGCTCTCAAAGTGTACACATCATAACACACATTTAAACATACTATATACAATATATGTATAGACCTACACCCTT